AAGGGAACAAGCGAGCTTGGTGCATGGCTCTACCCGGCTAGCTGAATGCATTGCATCTCTTTTGGAAATCATCAGTCGCTACAATGCAGAATGAAAAATCTTGTTTTGATAGCCTGGCGGGGGCTGGGTATAGCGGTTTCTACAAACAATTTTGGTAGCAGGCCAGCAGCACCATTACTCCAGACTCCTCACTAGCTTCTGTCGTTACCTCCCGTGGGTACCGGAATACCGGATACTATAAAATGGAATAGAAACAGAATCGACAGGACAGTTATAGGTTCGAAGGTTTGGGTAAACATAGTAGGAGTACAGAGACAGATTCGTACAACTCATGGATACTTCCGATTGGCCGGAGGAGCAGGAACCGCTCGGAAGAACGTCATGCGATGCAATATTCGCGCAGCTGGCCCATTATCTCGGCGGCATGGCCAAGACAATGATCGTGATTACCCCCGATGTCGTACACGCTCAATTTGAATAGAGACGTCGTAGCTTGCCAGATACAGCCATGTCCACCAGACTGGGCGGTGAAAGCGTCATAATCCTCTCGGCCGGACAAAGCCCGAGTATCGGATTGCTAGCGATTTGTAACCCACATGTGCGTGAAATTCGTTTGCGGCGACCGCTGTGTATTCCTCAACGCCAACCGTTCATGTCCGCTCCCTGCTGATATTGATGGGTGTTACCCAGTGGCGGCCTTGTGCTGCTCATACCCAGCGCAGGGTCTATAAAATTTTGCGCCCACTCATCGTGATTGAGCATTTCATCAAATTGCATATTTGGTCCTGGCATTTGTATGTGCGTGCTTCCGTTTTGCGGAGGGAATCCTCGGTAAGGATGGGCACCCTGCATCACATACATCGGCATATTGCCGAAGAGCTGGGCTTCAGTATCGTTCAGGCGTCTGCCTGCTCCGCCTGGAGGCATACTAGTAGGTGCAAACATTGCGGGATGTGGTTTGATGTCGATGCCAGAAGTATGGTGTGGAATGGCGCCCACAACAGGGGAATGCATGTTGCGATCGAAAGCCTGCGGGTATTTGTTTTCAAATGTAGTCATTGGTTGGTTTGGATATGCCAAAGGATCAGGCGAAGGAAACATCATGGTTGAGATATCCGAGATGGGCACATTGAGACCTGACGAGTCAGCAAATGAGCCACCTATCGGAGTTGAAGGGAAGGCAGAACTTTGCTGTGTGCCAGGCATGGGGGGAACGCCAAAATTCGCTAGACTGGCGTTGGAAGAGGTGGGGGTGAGGCCCGGTACGGCCTCGAAAAAGTCTCCGTTGCCTGGCGATGGAGTATTGTAGCCTACAGCAGGCTCAATGCCGAGATTCGCGAGATGTGTCGACGATATTGGCAATGTATGCCCGTGGGCAGTGCGCTTGGAGTCAGGGATACTTTCTGGAAAAGAACTCGCACGTCGTAGGCCCATGAAATCATCTTGCTTAACGAGGCTTGGACGTGATCCAAGTGATTGTGGAGAACTTCCTTGCCTTCGTTTCTTTGACTCAATAAGCTCTCCACCATGCCTTATAGACTCTGGCAATTTCTCAAACATCGTCTGTAACTAATTAGTTGATGCAAATACTATACAGTCTCGGACTAGACACATGCCTTTAAAGCAGAACTACACCGGTCAGCTGCCATGCTCGTCTTTGCAAAGTATGCAAGTACTTCTTTGCCTTCCACAGCATCCTTTAGCAGCTCGAAACTTGTTGGATTTGTTGGATTCTCGATCACAAAATATAGGATCGACACAACAGCGAAGAACGTTGTGTACATAGAGAACCAGTAAGCGCCGGCAAGCAGACCACGTTTCCGCATCTCGGTGGAAATGTGGATGATGTTTCGTGAAACGCTAACACACGCGGAGGCGCACGCGAAGGGTCTTTGGTCCACATTCTTGTCTTTTTGTGACTGCGAGACATAGTGCAAGAACGGTCGGTATAACAAAAGCTGCGCATGTCCAAAAGCCATGCGGAGTACTTGTTGTACTCTATGACCGGGTCAGATTGCATGTAGCATACATAATGATTCAAAGGGTACTGACCTTATGATGATTGGGGGTGCTTCGCCGCCTGGCTTCAGTGCTATGGGCAGCTCGTCTAGCCACTGTGCCAAATCACGCTCAAGCTCGCGAATTTTGGAGTAGCTGACGGTGTAAGTCACTGCATTCGACCCGCTGGCATGTGATCCTTTAATCGGGTAGACGTATTTGCAGATTTTGCTGAGTATCTGTACTATCCGTGTGTGAGCATTAAATGCAGCCATGACTGATATGTTCCCTGCGGGCATCAGGAGAACCTCCGTCTCTGTAATGTACTCGTCATCCACCTCAAGAGGCCATTCTTGATCAATATCTTCATCTTCCAAGAACCGCGGCAGACCAAGCATAGCGCCCACATATGTGTCCATTCTCCTGATCGCCCAGAACAGACGCTTCCGGGTTTCGGCCTCGATCGGGGTAAAATTTCCATTGAACGAACGATGAAGACCCATGCGAAGAGCAGAGCGCAAGGCAACTCCAATATAAGCGTAGCAGGTATTGAGTTTTGCCGAGGATTGCAAGAATTGTATCATGAAAACGATCGCTTGCAATGAGATCAAGTCTCTACATTCGGTGATATCGAGCATCTGTCGGCAAGATTTGAAATAACCATAACTTAAAGATGTTAGTTAGAATTATAAATCTGCTTACTGATCTTACTTGCCCTTCTTCTGTGAGCGTTTCGTAGCTTGCTTTATCGGCATCTTGGTTGCCTCTGGAATACAGCTTGCCTAGGGCAAGCACAGCGTACAGTAACGGGAGAAAGCTATTCTCCGTATTACCATAGCTCTCAGCTGGTCTGTCGTAAATACGGTCGAGCTGTTCGTAGAACGTAGGCAGGTGAACGACCCTGAGCATGGCACTGGCGTCCATGATAGCTGCGTCACAGAGTATGCGCGCTTCATCGCGAGGAGGAAGGTCTTTCCTAAGAGGAATCGCGGCGGAAGTACCTCCAGGCGATTGAGAACGAGGAGAGGGGGGATCTAGGGACACGGTACGATGTCTCATCGATGGCGATCGGTCTGCAGGAATCTGGAACATGTCGCCATACTGTCGTAGCCCTTTCATGAAGCTCACTCCAGACGAATGGCCGTAATATTCCAAGTTCCCTTCTTCGTCCAAGTCTAATTGACCAGTCGCTTTGACCATGGCCTCTAGGTGTGAATCTGGCGCTTCCTCGGACGGGGGAGGCCGCTGTTGCTGCGCCACACGCGAGTCAACGGGCAATATATGGGGCCGTGGTACGGCTGGTGGCAGTTGGGGTAGAAGCCCATTTTGGAGATGAGCGTCAATGCTGGAATCATTCAAGTCGATGGTTGGGAACACAACATGAAGTAGAGCCTTTGCGCGTTTCAATTGGCTTTCGAGTGCTTCGATGTACTGAGGTGTGGCATTACGTCTACGATTTGACGGTTGATCATATGTGCTAGTGATGTGTTAAAGATACTCTTGATGGTGACCAGATCCCAGGAAACGGATAATTTACCATTCTATTCAGTGCGTCAGTATTCATCAGAAAAAGGGCCAAATTATAACGCAATGTTGAAAGAAACGTACCATAGCTATAAACAGTGCAATGAGTACATGGCTGCTTCCCGTCACACTTTATCTTCTTCCGGCGACACTCATCGCAAGCGCGTGTGACTCGCCGTCGTTTTTGAGGCTGAGGCCGTGGAGGTTGATCTTCGTCAACGTCATTGTCTGGGGAATTCTCATCTCCAAGTTCGGGACTGTCTTCGTGTTGCGAAGCCTCATACTGAACAGATTGACCAGAGTCTGTTCGAAGACCGTCAGTGGTAGTGAGGGCTGGAGAAGCCATGGTGACAGATGGGGAACATGACTGTGGCTGGGGGGG